ATGTTCTACAACTTTAAAAAAATAGTGTAAGTAGAAAAATCTCTTAATAATTTCCTAAAAAAACCGTACAAAAAAAGTAATTATAAAATCTGTTTTATATATTTATAAAACAAAAACTATTTGTTTTTATTACAAAAAAAAATTAATGTGCAGTTGAAACACAGTCTATAAGTAAACACAACATTATAAAAATTAAAGCTGAAATTAGGAATAAGTCTGCTAACAACTACTCATCGTTACTTGATAGAAAGCTTGCACGTTTATTCCGAACTGGATCAAAAATGCTATCATCAGTAGATGTGGCAGATATGTCTAGAACAATTGTCTATTTTGATTCAAATGAAGAATTTCGTACGTTATTAACGGTCTCTCTTTTTTTTTCTTTTACAGAATCTGTTATTAGGGCCTGTTCTTTTTTGTCAGGATCACGAGTAAGAAAATGCTGTCCAAGCTGTTGTAGCACATTTCAAAGCCCTCGCTAATTAAATAAGCTGTTAGTATCTGAGCTTCCCTTTCGACGTCATTGTCGACTTCTTTATAATCATAAACTGTCATAAATTCGATCAAATCGTCCTCATCCGAAAGACACGAATCCCCAAATTGCTTAGGAAATTCGTAGTAGAACCAAAACTTCAAGTAAAAAGAATATTCGTGAGAGAAGTTCGTAATCCGTGTTATTTCAAAATCGTGTAAAAAAATAAATAAATTATAGTTCTTAAAAAATACTAAAAAACATGCTTTTATAGTGAATCGAACTAAAAAGTGAAAAAATAATTCTTAATATAAGAATAAAATGATTAACCCTTAACTTCGCACTGTTGCATTTCTGTAACATATGATTTATTTGAATTGAACAGACTCAATAATTTTTTAATTACCTACAAATCACTTACCTGAGAAAAAAAAAGATTATTGCGACTAAATACATGCTAATTTTGTCACTTGATGGAAGTACATTTTTTCCAGAGATCACAACAATTATAAAAATCTCTGATGCCTCAAGAACTGTGTTTTTGCTATAAAAAGAATCCGTTATATTTTATGCTTCCTCTTGTTTACTGACGAAATAAATTACCAGGTAAGAAATTTAAACATTTTATGATGAATATAAATGAATCATGTAAAAAAAAATTTGTAATTTACAGCACTATTGAGCAGTATTGCACTTCTGCAACAAACAAAAATATGACTGAAATTCAATTTTAAACTGCTTAATTTTTTTCTCCATATTTTTCCCTTTTAGTATTACTTGAGAACTAGCTGATATAATTTTTTCATAGAAATTTTAAAAAATTGCGAAGTTAAGGGTTAACGAGAAAATTAATGTCATTGTGGGATAAAAGCGTGGGTTGCTGCTATATTAATTTTGTTATAAGTACTTACTAGTTCTATTCCGAAATGCTGAGTTAGTGCAAAAATGTAGAACAAAGCACCCCACGCTTTTACCACAATGACATTTATTTTCTCGTTGATCATTTTATTCTTATATTAAGAATTATTTTTTTCACTTTTAGTTCGATTCACTATAAAAGCGTGTTTTTTAGTTTTTTTTTAACTATGATTTATTTTTCATTTTCTACTTCGATCTACAATAAAAGCCTGTTTTTTAGTTTTTAAAAATATCATTTATTCTTTGTTGAATTTATCCTTGAGTTCGATATTTGGAGCTGGAATCATGTGGCTGCTGAAATTAGTCTTACTCTTCGATGGATATTACTTAATGGGTCTGAAGGGCATTTATTCTCTCCGCTTACGATGCCTCGGATGAGTCCCATATCGTTATATTTCAAAGATTCCGTCTCTATAGATACAGGTCTAACCAATAAAAGCGTGTTAAGAAGAAATATTAAATATCAATCGTATTATATCACCTTTTAGACGTATTGCTACCGTGGGACGTGGAGGGAGAAACGCGTGATCACATATATGTGATCATGGTCCTAAATGTGTTAAGGAGCATCTAATAACTAAATTTTTTAAATATAGCCATATTATCGTGGTAGTATAAAATTTAAAAATTGTTATTGTAAAATTTATTACTTTTGAACATTCAGTAGTTTTAATTTACTAAATTCATGGGTATATTTTATTTTCATGGACACCTCTGATATCTATGTTTTCATTAAAAAGACCAAATTAGAGAATGTCAGTTTTCTCCGGTGAATGTCGGCACAAACCAAACATGTCAGCGAACGACCGAATATTTGGTATTTTCGAACCATCGCTGATGTATGTCATCAAGTACAGATAATCTCTGACGGAGATTGAAGCGATTGCTTAGTAACCGGCTTTTCATGGGGGTGTTGAAGGTTTTTAATAAAACTTTATTCCATGGTTAAAATATAAATTTCTGCGGATAGATTCCTTTATCACTGCCCATTATTTTTTATAAAAAGAATTACAAAAATTTTTTTAATTTGAAACAAAAACATTTTAATAATAATGTAAAACAAAATCAGAGAAGCCTTTTCTTTATCTGTGTTAATAATTGTAAATGTATTGGGTTTATGTTTAATGTAAAGGACAAATAATTATTTCCATAATTATTAAACACTTGAAATATAAATCATTCACGGAATACCAATGTTCAAATACAGCTCATTCACTTGTAAAAAGATGTATGGAGAAAGGGCTAGTATCTACAGAGAGTATTTGATATCAAGCTCCATTAATTGAAAAGCAGGAGAAGGTGTAGGGGGAATGGGGTCTTTGAGTTCGTAGAATTGAGGAAAGAGAAATCTGTGCGATATTTTGGAAATTGCTGCTGCACAGGAAATAAACTGAGATTTTTACGGATTTGGTTCGACAGTTTATTTACGTGTGCTGATATTCAGTTTTTTCCTATATTATACTTTCATATATGAAAGTGGAAACTCTAAGATTCTCTCTATTAAGACAACTCTAAGAGAATTCTAACATAATATTTTTCCTTTTGGGTTAATTGACTTTTTCTGTACTTATTGGTTTAATGTTCTTGGTACACTGTTTCAGAATTTAAGTTTCCTCTGATGTTTCGAATATTTAATCTTTTCACCATTCCTTTGAATCATCATCCTTATTATTATTATTATATAATCTTTAATCAAATACTAGATTGCTATTAATCTAATTTAAAGCAAAACTATAAATAGGTAAGAAAAGATAGTGTAAAGCTAAGGACCACAGTAATAAAATAGCAAACTCTTCGTCTTAGGAACTAAAATTGCAAGGTTAAATTTAGTTTTAAGACCAGCCAACCTTCCACTATATTTGCTTATGCCATCGCGGACTGGGGGAAAATAGAAAATAGTATAATAATATGAATATTAGTTTTTAAAAATACTGTGAGTTTATAACATAATACTATATAAATGATACCTGAAAAACTATAAGATTACAGACATTGGTTCCAAAACCAAGTACAATAAAAATAATAATAATAAATACATAGAGAGAGATATAAATATATAAGCTGAAATAAGGTATTTTGTTTTTAGACACATAGGATAGTTCATTTTTTAACAAGATTTCATCATTTACATTTGTTTCTATTAGAATTTCGTATTGGATAAATATTTAAGTAAATATATAAAGCGTTACTAATATGTTAAAAGTACACACATGCACACAGCTCTCAATTTTGTTTTCTTTCTTCAAAATATTCTTCGCTATTTCGTAACTAAATTATGTCACAGCATTACCTCATTACAAATCCTTTTAGCTTCAATAAATTCTCACTTAGGCATTTATCAGCGTTTCCTTCGGGAACTAAACTCATTTTCTGAACATCTAATAAACCCAAATATTTAATCCTTTTTCTTCTTGCCATAAACAGTAGTTACTAGATTACAGGGAGGTAATTAAAGATTTGCGGAGAACCCATATTCATTAGAGATATTTCATTACTTTTGAGCTCTGGGTTCTCCGCAAATCCTGCACTCGATGGAATGAAATATCTCTAATGAATATCTAGTCTTGCAAAGAGAGTATCCTGAGTACAGTCCAAATGAGTCTTTCACTAAAACCTTTCAACTCATTTAACTTGGAAGAATTAAAAACGTTATTTTAAGAGAGCCGGAGCGAGAAACCGTGGGAGCGGGAGGTATCATTAGAAGAGGGCCGCGGGCGATTTGGAAGAGTGTTAACGATGCTCAGCTAAGCCGCCGATGTGTAGTTGTAGAGGGTTTTAATCATCGCTTGAATCTTTCTCTGCATTTTAATTTTTCGCTTAGGACTTATCACTGTCGCAGATGGGATAATTCTTCATTACTTGTAGAAATGGTTGCATGGAAAGCTGAGGTGTGTTTCTTGTGTGTGAAAATCGGAAATGGGGCATATATCTGAAATGGAAGAAATGAATATTAATATGAAACTATGGGTAAAAAAAAGTTTTTTTTCAATTCCTACTATTAGTTAACAATCTCCCAATACATATTTATCATGCTCAAATTTTCATTTGTTAATAAAATACTTTCTATTCATCCATTCAAGTTCAATAACATTTTTTAAAATTTGTAGTGGATGACACGATAATAATAAGTTTTTCAAAGATTAATTCATTATTTAAATTTAATTAATGAATAAATAGTAACAAACAATAATAGTAACTTAACACTGTCGCAGATGGGATAATTCTTCATTACTTGTAGAAATGGTTGCATGGAAAGCTGAGGTGTGTTTCTTGTGTGTGAAAATAGGAAACGTGGCATATATCTGAAATGGAAGAAATGAATATTAATAAGAAGTTATGGATAAAAAAAATGCTTTTTTCAATTTCTACTATTAGTTAACAATCTCCCAATACATATTTATCATGCTCAAATTTTCAGTTGTTAATAAAATACTTTCTACACATCCATTCAAATTCAACAACATTTTTTAAAATTTGTAGTGGATTACACTTGATAGTAATACAGCTTTTTCAAATACTAATTCATTAATTAAATTTAATTAATGAGTAAATAGTAACAAACAAAAATAATAGTTCAACACCATATATAAAAAGGAAAATCACTCGTTGTGTCCCTGTAGAGCATTGGATAGCGCGTTGGACTTCTTACCCAAAAGTAGTGGGATCGAATCCCACCTGGGATGGCCTAATTTCTGAGAATGAGATTTCCTTTCACTATACTATTTTATTGGAATAATTAAATTTAACTAACGAATAAATAGTAACAAACAAAAATAATAGTCCAACTCCCTATATAGAAAGGAAAATAGAAAATTTCAAGGAAAATCGCTTTCTATTTTGCCCCTTAATATTGTGATTTTGCCTTGCGTATATACAATATATATTAATTGTATATATTAATTGTAATTATTTAATAAAAAGTAAGTAAAATAAAATTTTTATTTGTTCTCCTAAGTAGGAATTGACTTAAAAATAATTTTTTTATATATATATAACCTGTTAGAATCAAATCTTTCTTTTAATGGTTTACATATATTACATTTAAATTTTCTTTATTTTGTAGTTGTCATGAATCTTCCTACACATCATGTGGTATCCGCCTAACGTAAAATACCATTTTAACCGCAACTTTATCTTCTTAATTATTGCCACGTTGACACACTCCAAAGAGAGATGGTGCAATACTGCAGCAATCACCATTTTTGACGAATCAGAGTATTAAATACTAGAAATTATATGATTATAGAACGAAGATTCTAGCCGTTTTAAATAGGAAAAAGTATAAAATAAGATCTCTCAAGATTCCTCCTTTAGCCAACTGCAACCAGATAAAGATGTTACACAAACATGTTGAAATGCTGAATTCCTGCGAAATCGCTACACACACAATACATATATAACTAAACTAAACTTATTGGCGCAATGGTTCATATGAGCGGATTCATAGGCAGATGCGACGGTCAAGTGGTGAATCTGAAGCAAAACCAACAGTGTTTAGCTCCCAAGTAAGCTTGGTACTCATTTATCGACCCACTGAAACGGATGAAAGTCTGAATCGGCCTTGCCCAGCCCGGGGTTTGAACCCTGGATCTGTGCCATGGAAGAGCGATACGCTACCACTCACCCACAAGTATAGATAAATTGTAAATCCTTCAAAGCAAAGAATGGAGGAAAATAGATTTGAAAACCTATAAAAACCAGCCAAAATATAAGTAGACATGTAAAAAGTCAATTGACCAAAATGGAAAACTATTATGTTTTCTAGAGCTATCACTTATTTAGGACTGTGGAATAAGGTTAAGCTTGCTTTACACTATTCTAACCTTTCCCTTTCAGCAGAAAATTTCGACATAATAGTGCAATAAAGAGTAAAGAAAAATACAGAAATGAAGTTAAACCTAATAATAGCACGTGTAAACTTTCAAAACTTTTTCAATCAAATAAACTAAAAGGAATCATTATTGAAAAATTGTGCAATGTCACAAATTGAAACAAACATGAAAAGATTAAAATCATAACCTACCGAAATTCTTTATTGTAACGAATATAAAAAAATTATGCGTGTTTACTGCTCGCGGACACTAATCTACATAGTGGAGTTACTGTATGTTAAACGTGCCTATATAACTCTCAAATGAATTATGATACCCTCTATATGACTCTATAGAAATAAATAATAAAAAACTATACTTTCTTAATAGAATAATTAAGGAGAAATGGATGAACAATATAATAAACCAGCGTTTCTCAAACTGTGGGGTGCGCCCCCTTGGGGGGCGAAATAAACCTACGAGGGAGGCGCGGGCATATCCAAAATAAAAGTTTAAAAAAAAATTTATTTACTGGAATGAAGTAAAATAAAATACTTTCTGACATAGTAAAAAAATACTCATTTACACTGATATAATTTATATATATCATCTGCGATATTACGTCATCAAAAATAAAAGCTTCTACTTCAAAACCTCATTAGCTATCTTTGATACTATAACCAAATAAAAAAACATTTTATTTGATTTGCTGTAATCCTATGATGAGAGATTTTTTTATTACGTTTTCTTTTCAAACCTAAAATACTACTCTTTCAGAGAAAAAATAAACCCAGACCTACAACCAAAAAACTTTTTGGAAGATAAAAAATTCATCACTGTAAAATATTACTGAAATACTGTACATTAGCTGTTGGCAGCAGAATGTATTTACTGCTGTTTGACCTTCGAGCTTACTTGCATGGTTAGTTACGTCCCTGCTCTTATTATTTGATTTTTCATTTAGGGTAATTGTAAATAAACTATTTCTGCTGCACTTTTTTTCCTTGTAAAATATTTTTAGGATTTTTGGAAAAGCACAGAGAACACTTTGAAGGATTACTTGGCCAAGATTTATTTTTATGAGTATTCCCAAATATATAAAGCATAATGAAAAACGTTTTACATAATTTTTTTAGAACATCCATATTGTATAAATACATTTTTAACCCGGGAGCGGTCACGTCGAGGACAAGGAAAGAAAATTTTCAAATGCTAACAAAAGAGCTCCATCAACTAAAATATGAAACCATAAGTATCAGAAGACACACTTTGCTTTGTCAAAAACACACAAGCAAGCAAAAGTTCAACATGCTATTAGTAGAACATGAAAGGACAGTAAAATTACAATAACTTGAACGAAATATGACAGTTTTGCCTGCAAATAACATTCCTGTAATGTTAGCGAAAAGTGTCTGTGATTTGTGTCTTTTTTTAAGGTCACGCACATATGAAACATTTTAGTTCAGTTTTCTTGGATTTTTTCGTAAAATTATCAAAGAAAAATTGAAAAGTCCTTGAAAGTAGGTAAGCATATTTTCTATTCATTAAATTATTCACTGGATTTATGATTTTTATTGTGTACTATAAAAATAATTATAAAAAAAGGACTGGGGTGACTCAATAACCTCGCTCGATCATTAGTATCGAATGCACGCCTGCTCCCGGGTTAAGACATGTTGAAGTTTTTTTTGCTTTAAATATTAAAAATAATACAATTATTCTTCATCGGAA